CGATTGTCAAGAAACCAATTTCCAAGAACATGGCACTATTTAAAAGGAAAAACTAGCCGCAAGTGTGCTGTAGAAGACATGAAGCAAGGCTGTGTGAGAGCAAGATGTAGACCCCTTTACTTTCTAGGTCAGTTGGTGTTCAACTATTGTCCGATCATCCTCCTCTGCAAGGCGTTGACAGGTGATTAGACGACTGACTTTGTTGACAGACTGACCGAACTTGCTTTGGCCGAGCAGACGATAGGGGTGAGGAGCACCGGGTGAAGCTCCGCTTCCAAAGAAGTCAGTCTCCTGAAAAGACAGCGCCAGGCCGTACGGAGGCTAGTCAACGGGTAGAAAGATATTTCAAATTACACGAAAGATAAGTGTGGGATTGGTCTAGAAGAGGGAGAGTAGATATCGACGTCTGCCAGGCCGAAGGGTTGATTGCGTAACATTATACGGCCTTCATTGAACATTAGCTATGCCGTTAGTGATGCATCGATAGGTTGGCACGACAGCTCATTTGCGCTTAATTACGATGAACTAAAAGATATAGACGCAGGAAGGAAATGCTACTTACTGACTTGGACTGGGCCGCCATACCCGTGTACTCGGTAAAGCAACAGCTGTGCGCTCCATAAGAAGCTGACACGAGACCTGGTGGGGGGAGCAAAGTCAGGTGTTGGGGCAGGGGCCGGAGAACACGAAGGGTAATACTAAAGAATAGAAATGCAGCCTGGCAGCAATTTGGCTACTGGGGCCAAATCACTGAACGAATGCAGTTAAGCAGGACAGATAGGATAGAAAATTGGCAAGTAGAAGGCAATGAAAGAAAAGAGCTATGTTTTGGGGCTCCTGTACTAAGTTGTTTGACCTTGTTTTCGCAACTTGGTCGTATTGGTATGAAGACCTACATAGTCCAGAGTCCATAGTGTACATGATAATCTTCAGAGTCGGACCCCGGCCGTGGTACAATCTCAGACGTTGCGACGACATCGGCAAATACAGTGAGTCTTGCCATTCTAAGCACAACACTACAACTCGTCAAAGAGACAAGTGAAACCGAAACTATGACAAACAATTATGTTATCTCCCCTTCTTGCTTGAGCTATTCACTAATCCTATATCCTCGTATCAAACCTTCACTATCACAATTTTTATTTAAATGTGGTATGTTGTGCCCTTTTGAGCGGGCTCCATGAGAACTATCCACAGCCTGCGCTGGCATTCACAGCCCCTCACCCCTCTTCACCCTTGTGCTGGGAATGTCGATCAGAGCCTGCCATATTATTCCCTTATCCTCTTCCCATAGGTCTTATCAGAGTCTCCCTCTTGCCCAATAGGATCCACCTCCTACTTTCCTGGTTCAGGTATTTCACTCGACTTTTGGGAAAGCAAGGCTC